AGCTCTCTTGTGCAGTCACAGAATTGCCACAGTCTCAGCACACTACTCCTGCCATCATGGGGTCCAGAGGACCCACCCTTCCCTGGTTACCTGTCATGACTGCAGAAAGTCAAAGATGTTTCCAGAGCCAGCTGCCTGTGGGTATTCTGCCTAGGAGGCTTGAGCACCAGAGCCTGTGATATGTTGAGCAAATGGGGGCCACTCATATTGCTGCTTGCATGCTCATCCCCCTATCAATCCTCCCAGCCAGACTTAAAGTCAGTGGAGAACTTGCTTCTCCCCTCTGCTATAATCTCTGGATCACAGCTGTGCACAAGAGTGCCAGCTGACTGTTAACCTTCTCTCCACTGGTTGCTGATTGTGTGCACCTGAGTTGTTGCCATCGGTACTGCTGACATGATGTGTTGTCCCAGCTGGCTGCTGGGCTCAAGCACAAGAGATTTCACAACTGCTGCTTTTGCCCAAAATGGCACCGCCCTCTCTCAGCTGGTTGCCTGGTGCCATTGTGGGTGAGATGAGGAGAGAAAAACATGCTCCTTTTTTCCCCTACTGGGTCAGTGGGTACACTATCCACCCATCTCCAGTCACAGAAGAAAAATCAAGGTCATGGCAATGGTGAGCTTTCCTGCAGACATACTCTGACAAATCCAATGTCCTCCATACCCTCTGTTCAGCTCCCAGCTGACAATCCCTCTCCAAGCCTGTGGTCAGACACAGGTGTGTGTCTCTACTGTGGAGATGGCAAATTGTGGTTCAGATGGATTAAGTGCCTGCCTGCAGTTACACAAAGAGATCTGGGAAGTGAACACCACTCACCAAAGGTTGGCATTTGTGATTTCTATGTGCATTGATCTGATATCTCATATCTGAACCTAACAATGGGGTTTGACTCTCCCAATATGCTATGCATAACTGACAAAATTGTAAATTTGTCATTTGTGTGGCTTGCATTTGACCCGGTCATGTAGACACCAGCATCCCAGATTGGAGTGTCTGCATTTGAGTCCTGCGTCTTCTCTTGATTCCATCTTCCCACTAATGCATACCCTGGGATGCAGCAGGTGATGGCTCAGTAGTTGTGTTTTTCTCACCCAGCAGGGTGACCTAGATTGCATTTCTGGCTCCTGGCTCCCAGCTTCAGTCCCTGGCCAACCCTTGGCTGTTTTAGGCATTTGAGAATGAACCAGTGGGTGGAGTATCTGCCTGTCTTTAGCTCTGTCTCTGTCTTCATGTCTCTCTGCCTCAGAAATAAAATAATTTAAAAACAAAGATCAGGAGGAATAAAACCCAATGTGCCATATGGCTTTTAGTCATGTCATCAAGTTCTCTCTGTGCAGGAACTCTTGAGAAAATGGTGGGAAAAACATCAAAAGACATTTGCAGTCAGCGCACAAGGAGAGCTGAGCACTGAGAAGAGTTGTCATGATGGAATGAAGGCAGCAGGCCTTGTTGGCAGGACAATGAGTGTGAGTGTGTGTGGGGATGGGGTTCTTCCTAGCCCAGATAGGTTCTGGACTCCAAAATGCCTGCTGTGCAGTACCTGCAGGGTCTACCCCAGGCACTTCCATCCCCTTCTCACACCCACTTGTTGGTTGTCTGCTGCTACCCGAATGCACTTTAGCTGAACTGCAGGTTGTAGGCCCATGAGCCAACCAGGTCCATGTCCAAGTATCTACTAGGTTGTGCCCTGCCTGGCAGCTCCAAGGAGATTCCAGTTTTCAGCTGATGCTGAGTGTGGGCAAACTGTGTCCCATGTACTTACAGGACTGAGGCTCCAGTCCCCTTCCACTGCCCCTCCTGCCACATCACTTCCAGGTGATAACAATGGGCCCACAAGCAGAACCCTGGAAAACCTCCCACTGTCACACCTGTGAAGTCTTTTGTCAACTGTCATGGAACCACCTAGAAGCCACGGAGGGATTCAGGGCCTGGTCTTGGGGACAGGGATTTTCATACCCACTTGGCAAGGAGACATTCTCTAAATGAATTGAATAGACTCTCTGGAAACATGACAGGCAGCTGAACTGGGCCCTGGACACAGCCCTCTGCAAGGGAAGCCATGACCTCAAAGTAGAAAGATAAGGACAAAATGGTGGGAATGATTGTAACTTAGGCATGTGTGTTTTCATTTCAAAAGGCACTTCAAGTATCCAGTCCAACACTTGTGCCATAAACCAACAATTCAAATGTTTGGAAATTTCAGTGGAATGATAGGTCCTGAAAGCTCCCAGGACAGAACAAACCCACAGGGAAGAATTGAACCATCATGGGTTTCTCATGGAACACAAAATGCTCAGCCTTAGAAGCTGGTTCCAAAGTTCTAGAAGGAATCAGCATTCAGCCCAGAACTCCAGGCACAGCTGCTGCTAGCAGGCAAGGGAGTTTATCACCAAGACGATGGTGTTTGTACACATTCCTACTCTAAATGACATGGAGAATGGTGACTGAGGGTCCCTGGTTGACCGAACTTCCTAGGACAGTCATAGTACTAGATTCTTGTGTGTTACCTGCTGGCCTGGGTACAAAGAGGATTACAACTGGGAGGAGACCAGGTACGGAAGGGTGTGGTGCCTTTTTGCTTTTCATTACTTCCTATTCACTGCCACCTACTTCCCATTCTAGCACACTACAGCAAGTAGGGTTGTGATCCTTAGACAGATGTGCATTCAAATTACATCAATGACTTCCTGTGACTTTACATTACTTTTTTTTAAATTTTTTTTTTATTTTTGACAGGCAGAGTGGACAGTGAGAGAGAGACAGAGAGAAAGGTCTTCCTTTTGCCGTTGGTTCACCCTCCAATGGCCACCGCAGCTGGCGCACTGCCGCCGGCTCACCGCGCTGATCCGATGGCAGGAGCCAGGTGCTTCTCCTGGTCTCCCATGGGGTGCAGGGCCCAAGTACCTGGGCCATCCTCCACTGCACTCCCTGGCCACAGCAGAGGGCTGGACTGGAAGAGGGGCAACCGGGACAGAATCCGGCACCCCGACTGGGACTAGAACCCGGTGTGCTGGCACTGCAAGGCAGAGGATTAGCCTAGTGAGCCGCGGTGCCAGCCTACATTACTTCTTAAAATAAAAGTGAGTCTGCATACTGTTTTAAGCTAGAAGTCACTTGGGATCACTTTTGCAAAATCTAAATAATTTAAACCAATGAGGTCCAAGGTGGCAGAATAGTGATACTCTGCCTTGTCAAACTAGTGGATCCAAAAGGCTTCCAAGGGCAAGGCAACTCATGTTAAGAGCTTTGGGTGATCACTGATATCATACCTAAGAGTCCTATTTGTTAAATAAATAACAAGAGTCACTGTGCATTAACTTCTCATGCAGGACCTCTGTCCCCAAAGAGTTGCATCATGAGACTTAATAGTAAAATGTATTATCAAGGATCCCTTCCTTATAGTGTATTAAATGGAGGATATTATTATGTCCTGTAAGTTATCGTTATGTCTAAGAGCTCCCAAAAGATGAAACATTCTTGGGTTCTTCTTTAAAGACAATAAAATTACTAAATGGATTGTTTCTCACTCTTTTTTTCCTTTCTTTTTCTTTCTTAGAATAAACAGGAGAAGGAGGATGAAGGGGGGAGAGTGAGTGGGAAGAATTACTATGTTCCTAATGTTGGACTTATGATATACAGAAATAACAAAAAATCATAACAAAGTCTATTAATATTAAAAACACGAAGTAATATTTTTTCTTTGCTTTTGATCTGTATTTCACAGTGAAGCTTAAGAGTCATTTGCCCTTATATTAAAATGGAGTTCTGTAAAAAAAAATCCTGCTCAACCAGTGTGCAAAACGCACGCAAAACAAAAAATGTTGCCACTTTATCTGCATGAAAAAAGAAACACACTTCAGGTGAGTAGGTATCTAAAGCACATAACAAAGTAACTTCAGTTCATATTTTTTCCAGAAGTTGCCTGGATAGAAATTATTCTGAACATCACTCAAATATTCTTCCAGTGCTTAGTACCATGCTCAAGTATTGCCGTCAACACAGAGGACACCCGCACAATGACGTCAGCACAGCCGTGGTCACACTCTGGTACCTGCTCCATTAGGCCCTGCACAGTGAGCGCCTTGCCAGCAGCCGCGTCACTTTCTATTTGTAGGCTGGCTGCCTGGTGCTGACGTTTACTTAGCGCCCCCAAGGATAATGAATGAAATTGAAATCGTTTTACCTTGACGGAGTGAAGCTGTCCTCCCTCCTGAGGTTTGGCCCCGTATCGCATATTCTTTTCTTTTTTTTTTTTTTTTTTTTTTTTATTTTTTTTTTTTTTTTTTTTTTTTTTGACAGGCAGAGTGGACAGTGAGAGAGAGAGACAGAGAGAAAGGTCTTCCTTTGCCGTTGGTTCACCCTCCAATGGCCGCCGCGGCCGGCGCGCTGCGGCCGGCGCACCGCGCTGATCCGATGGCAGGAGCCAGGAGCCAGGTGCTTTTCCTGGTCTCCCATGGGGTGCAGGGCCCAAGCACCTGGGCCATCCTCCACTGCACTCCCTGGCCACAGCAGAGGGCTGGCCTGGAAGAGGGGCAACCGGGACAGAATCCGGTGCCCCAACCGGGACTAGAACCCGGTGTGCCGGCGCCGCTAGGCGGAGGATTAGCCTAGTGAGCCGCGGCGCCGGCCGCATATTCTTTTCTAGGCGGCGCTCAAATAATCCTCCAAAGTGCCCGCCACTGGACGCCATCTTGCCCGGAAGTAGGATAGATCAAGGCGTGCCAGGATTGGCTGGAGAATCGACAGCATCGGTCATCATTTCCTGAGAGCAGGGACTGAAGGGACGTGGTGCCGCCCCCTGGCAGCCCCGCAGAGAGGATGTGAGGGACTTGCTCCCGCCTCCCCGCCACAGGGCACCTGGCGGGACGCAGGGCGGGGAGAGGGGGCGGGACCTCAGGGGGCGGGGCCGATCGATCTCCGTTGGAGTCAGACAACCGCTAGGGCGGCCATTTCCCAAGCGGCGGGGCCACACTGCAGTGTGAGGCTGCGATCCCCGCGCGGGGCGGGGGAGGCCCGGCCATTCACCCATGCTTGAGACTGCGTCCTCCGCTTGCCGCGGCGCCTCGTGGCCCAGCTGCTGCGGGTGATGCGCCGGTCCCGGGAAACCTGGACGGCGGCCTGGGGTGGGATGTGGCAGAGTCCCTCCGGGGTCTTGTGCGCAGTTGGGCGCCAGGCCGTGCAGAGGCCAGGCCGCGGCTCCCAGGAGGGCAGGATGTTTCTCGGTGGTCTTTGCAGTCCACGCCAGGCCTGGGCCGGCCCTGTCTTTACTGTCCCATACCATACCTTCCCACTCTGATAAGGAAGAAATAAATACGGAGTGGATATTGCATTTGGTTGGCAGTTTAGAATCCTAAATCTATAGTCTTTAGAGCTCATGATATATGTTTCTAATCATGTTACTAAAATAATAAGTTTATATTTTACTTAACTATAATCTTGCTGTTGATAGACTTTAAGACAGCCTTAAGATTTCACTGTTAGAAATTCTGCAGAAAATCTTCTGGTGTGATCTTTCAGTCATGAATTTGGAATACCATGCTGACTTATTTACTTATCCAAGATTGTGTAAATTTATGGGCAACCTGTTACCATTTTGAATTCTGAGATGGTTGAATCAATTTGTATGCGGTCATAGGAATATGAGGGCAGTGGTTTCATCTGTGTCATCACCAGCATTGACTGTTGGAAATGAAAATAAGTTTCTGAATGTTATGACAAATATGGATAAGAGAGATCTTCAATTCTGCAGAACTCATCTTGTATGTGTGGAGTACAATAATAGTTTTATGTTTGTGTGGATTAAAAAAAACAGGTTACAAACTTTTAAAACCTTTTTCCTTCTCATTTTTACATGAATCGAATCAAGCTCTGGAAGTAGCCTGGATTTGAGAGCTGGATGGAAGGCAGGCATTTTAGTGATCATGGTGAAAATGTGGCTGCAACTGACACAAGTTGGTCTAAACTGGGACTCCCAAATAGAGGCCCAGGTAAGCACAAAGTGTAATGGGAATGAATTTCTTCTGATGTCACAATATAGCAAAGAAAGTGAAAAGTTCAGATTTTTTTAATTGAGGTGAGATGATACCCAACTTATATATTGTTATACCCAGACAAGGATATTCAAGTGATTAAGTCATTATCTTGTAGTTTACCATACTTCTTGGTTTATTTGTGTTCTATTTTTTTTTTTTACACACTGCTTAGGTTTACTAATTCTGTTTTTGTGAAATTCTTCTTACTTTATGAATTGCTAGGTTTTACCATTATTGAACTTTATTTTCTAGCTTTCCATGGTCTTGACTAAAAATGCCAATTCCATAATGGGTTATTTTCCTACTTTAGTCTTTCCTATTAATTTTTTAAAAGAGTTATTTTATTTATTTGAAAGGAGGTGCTATGGAGAGAATGACAGACACAGAGAGAAATTTTCCATCTGCTGGTCACTTCTCAGATGGCTGCAACCAGAGCCAGGAGCTTCTTCTGGGTCCCCAATCTGTGCAGGAACCTAAGGATTTGTGCCAAATCTGCTGCTTTCCCAGGCACATTAGCAGAGACCTGAATTGGAAGTGGAGCAGCGAGGACTCCAACTAGTGCACATATGGGATGCTGGCATTACAGGCGGTGGCTTTACCTGGTATGCCACAATACTGGTTCCTTGCCTAGGAATTTAATGGGCATGATTGTAAGCCCCAAAGCTCAGGAATTGTGTCTGTTTTTAATTCTTTTTTGCCAATTGAATCCTTTAAACACATTTTAAACTATAGGAGTAACATGCATTTGTTATATTTTACACTTGAAAGCAAAAACTGGGATTTTCCCCTATCCCCATTCCCAGTCTTGGTGTGAATTTTTCCTGTTGTTTGGGGGTCTCACTAGACCCGTTGGATTTTAAGAAGAGATCAGAAAGGATGTTCTCAATGTTTTTCCCTACTAAATATATCCAAGAAGCCAGCGCCGTGGCTCACTAGGCTAATCCTCCACCTTGCGGCACTGGCACACCGGGTTTTAGTCCCAGTCGGGGTGCCGGATTCTGTCCCGGTTGCCCCTCTTCCAGGCCAGCTCTCTGCTGTGGCCAGGGAGTGCAGTGGAGGATGGCCCAGGTACTTGGGCCCTGCACCCCATGGGAGACCAGGATAAGTACCTGGCTCCTGCCATCGGATCAGCACGGTGCGCCGGCAGCAGCGCGCCAGCTGCGGCGGCCATTGGAGGGTGAACCAATGGCAAAAGGAAGACCTTTCTCTCTGTCTCTCTCTCTTACTGTCCACTCTGCTTGTCAAAAAAAAAATATCGAAGTTTGCATCGAACATCTTTGTATATAAGATCCTCTTTTGTGGCAATGCCACTGGGATATCATTTCCCAAAGAGTCACGGTTAGGAACAGGAAGTGGACTGGCTAACCAAGGAGTCCTTGACTTCTTGCTGGGCAGAATCTTTGTGCTTTGTGCTTCCTCAGATTCATCCCGTTCACATATGGGACAAAGGAGACAGCAAGCAGAAGTTGTGCTGCTCCAAGGCAGTTAGGAAGGGCTGATTGCCTGGGGCATGGCTTTGGTTTTTAATCCTTAATCCCAGAAGGGCCTACAGAGGGGAGAGGATGAGATGGTGGGCCCCAGATTGTTGAGACACATGCATGTTTCATGTATCTTTAGATTACAATGGGGGTGCTTATTATCTAAATTATTGATTCTGATCTCAGCTCAATGCGTTCACTTTCCTGGAAGCAGCATGGTTTAAAAACTAACCGTTGGTAAATTTACAGAGGTAATATGTATTTGTGAGTTAGATCAAGCATGACTTGATGACTTTATCATTTTGTCTTGCATGCTCATACTTATTTTTTGAAAAAAATTTATTTATTTTATGAAAGGCGGCAATACTGAGACAGAAGAGATGTATTTCCCTTATTATTTAGTTGATTGTGAAATAATTTTTCCCAGAATGCTAAGTATGTCAAGGGTAGCTAATAACAGATACATAATAAATATTGTCACACGAAAGACTACACATAAGATTATATAAGCACCGATTTTCTGAAGATACAGAAGTCTTTTAAAAATAGCTTCGGATTTTAAACTTTTGGAGCATTTCTCAAGCTTTGCTCCTATGTAGTGTCCTGTCAACAAATTGAGGTGAAGCTGCTCCTGGCAGAGGACTGGAAATTACTGGCCAATGAAACAAACTTCTTCTAGATACCAGTGTTTTCAGATGTTTCTTCTCTGAGTTTTGTTATATATTCTGAGTTGGTTTGAGTTATGAGAATAGTGAACAAACATGAGGAACACAGGTAAAAAATGAACTGGAATTGAAATTCATGATAAATAAGTAGATTCTGGCTGCTTTTGCCATACAAACAAAAAACCCTGGGTCTCTATGTTAGAGGATGGATATGTTAATTTGCTTGAATATATTAATTTTAACTATGTGTATCCTATGACATCATGTTATATCCCTTGAATGTACATAATAAACCCAAAAAGGGAAGGGGCAGAATGTAAAGTGAGCTATGTGTTTGTTTATTATAGATCCTACACATTGCTTTCCTTAAACAGCATCTTCTGGAACAAATTCAGAAAGTTTTCCCAAAAGCCATTTTTCCTGTTTCAGTCTGTCCACAAAAGTATATATTTATCCAAATTGCCAGGTACTGTTGTAAGATTTACCTTCATACACTCCAGCGTAGCACTGAGTCCAGAGCCTAGACAAACATGCAGTTAGACCTGTGTATTCTACACAGCTGCACTGATGCCAGCAGCCTCTTACAGAAGGCTCAACACTGATATCAGACTCCTGATTCAGCCAAACACATGGCTAGCCAAAAAGAATACACTTTCAAAAGCAGATGATATACATGGGGGAATTTCACAGTTTTGGAAGAGAACACAGGGAATGAGAGAAGGATTTCAACCCAAGCAATTTCAGTTATATACTGTGGGAGTTTCTGAGTCTTATGAAACATACTGTGAGATTTCAGTGGACTGTGAGAGCATCACTGTGACCTATGGAATGCTAATTAAGCTACTTTCTCCTGAGCAGTGGCAAAATAAACCCAACCAAAATGTCCTTTCACCTGGAAAAGAGAAGCCAATGTGAGAGCCACCAGATCAAAACCACATTGCCTCAGATTACTACAGTCAAGGAGTTGGGCAGGCTCATGTGCTGAATGTCATCTGGAATGGTCTTGAGGATTTGAACAATGCTCTAAAATTACACCAAAGTTGTAGAAGCTTGGGGCCAACACTGTAGCAGAGAGTGTAAAGCAGCTGCTGGCACCCCATATGGGCACTGGTTTAAGTCTCAGCTGCTCCACTTCAGATCCAGCTCTCTGCTATGGCTTGGGAAGGCAGCAGAAGTTGGCCCAAGTCCTTGTGCCCCTGCACACATGTGGGAGACCTAGAAGAAGCTCTTGGCTCCTGGCTTCAGATTGGCTCAGCTCCAGCCATTGTGGTCTATTGGAAGTGAACCAGTGGATAGAAGACCTCTCTCTCTCCTTCTACCTCTCCTTCTCTCTGTGTAACTCTGATGTTCAAATAAATAAATAAATCTTTAAAAAATGTAGAAGCTCTCCAATTTTGGTAAAGTTAGATTAGTATACATTTTAAGATTTTGGGGAAAGTTTATATAATATTCATGAATTAGAATAACATTTTTAAAAAAGGTTTTATTTATTTGACAGGTAGAGTTACAGACAGTGAGAGGAAGAGAGAGAACGGTCTTCCTTCTGTTGGTTCACTCCCCAGATGGCCACAATGGCTGAGGTGCACCAATCCAAAGCCAGGAGCCAGGTGCTTCCTCCCAGTCTCCCATACAGGTGCAGAAGCCCAAGGCCTTGGACTATCTTCTAATGGTTTTCCAGGCCATAACAGAGAGCTGGATTGGAAGAGGGGCACCCAGGACTAGAACCAGGGCCCATACAGGATGCTGGTGATGCAGGTGGAGGATTAACATACTGTGCCATGGAGCTGGCCCCCTAGAATACATTTTAATATGTAAATTGGAAACCAATATTATAAAAAGCAATGCTTAAAGTCACAGTGGAGGCCAGTGCCATCTCACTAGTCCAAGTGATCAATTTCTGTTCACAATTGATCATAATGATAGGACTAAGAGTCAAAGGGAGCACATAAACAAGTCTAGTACCTGCAAATACTAACTGATAGAATAAAAAAGGGAGAGAACGATCCAACATGGGAAGCAAGATACACAGCAGACTCACAGAATGGCAGATATCCTAAACAGCACTCTGGCCTCAGAATCAGCCCTTAAGGCATTCGGATCCGGCTGAAAAGCCCATGAGAGTATTTCAGGCATGGAAAGCCAAGACACTCTGAAAAAAAATGACCTAAATGAAAGATCTCCGTGAGTGAGATCCCAGTGGAAAGAACAGGTCGTCAAAGAAGGAGGTACTTTTCTCTGAAGGGAGGAGAGAACTTCCACTCTGACTACAACTTTGTCTAAATATGATCAGAGTCGGTGAACTCAAAAGGCTTCCATAGCCTAGGCAACTCGTGACAAGAGCCTAGGGTGATTACTGATGCCATAAACAAGAGTGTCAATTTGTTAAGTCAACAACAGGAGTCACTGTGCACTTACTCCTCATGTAGGATCTGTGTCCTTAATGTGCTGTACATTGTGATTTAGTGCTATAACTAGTACTCAAACAGTATTTTTCACTTTGTGTTTCTATGTGGGTGCAAACTGTTGAAATCTTTACTTAATATATGCTAAACTGATCTTCTGTATATAAAGAGAATTTAAAATGAATCTTGATGTGAATGGAAGGGGAGAGGAAGTGGGAAAGGGGAGGGTTGCGGGTGGGTGGGAAGTTATGGGGGGGAAGCCATTGTAATCCACAAGCTTTACTTTGGAAATTTATATTCATTAAATAAAAGTAAAAAAAAAAAGAGTCATGGGGAGGGACATGGTTCTGCAGTGTCAAGTCTTTGTGGCCAAGTAAGCTTGGGCAAGTAAATGTTGGGACTGATATGGGCCTAGATGGTACAAAATACTTGCCTGAGGTTGCAAAGCTGTATGAGGTAGTACAAGAGTTCCAACCTTTAGACCGGGTCCAGGGGTCACTCTTAGCATGGGATGCCCTAAGGAACCTCAGAGGAGGTTTATTCCAATGTTCTGGAAAGTGCAGGAAAATACCCAGTGTAGGAGGAGTTCTGGTGTGTGCGATACCCTCCCTGCTTGTGCCTTGGTGGGAATGCATTCAAAGTTGCTTATGCAGCTAGTATGTGCTCTTAATTTGCACATCTGGGAAAGGAAGTAGACTGGGACAATAGTGTTCTTACCCCTGATGCTTGCCCTGGATGCTAATGCTGAATTTGTATAGCATGAGTTGCCAGCTCTGTGTACCTGGACATAACGTTGAGCCACTGTGAAGTGAAACTTCAATGTGATAAAGAGGGGCAAGCTTAGGGAAAGGATGGAAAATAGGAAAGGAAAGTGTTTCCTTGGTAGGTTTTTGTTTTTATTCCCACAGTCTCATCTATGACCTTGTGCAAATAACGTGCAAAGCTTTAATCTTTGCCTACATCATTTTCTAAAGCTCCAGATCATTGTTTTCTGTTTTCTGAGCCATCTGCTGCTGCTTTCCAAGGTACATTAACAGGAGCTGCATTGGAAACATAGCAGCCAGGACTTGAACCAGTACTCAATATGGGATGCCATCAATGTAAGAGGCAACTTAACTCACCACACCACCTCACTAACCCTGAGAAAAAATTTAAACATCTTCATTGAGATTAAATTGAAATGTACAATTCAGTTGACTTTAGTGTATTAGTAATAGTTGTACAACTATCACAATCTAAGTTTAGGCCATTTTCATCAATGGATGTGGGAACTTTTACACTCTATTCATTAAGTTTTTATGTGGATTTAATTGTGCCTATAGCAGATGATCTGTGATTATCTTTGTTTTTTAAAGATTTATTTTTTATTATTTATTTGAAAGTCAGAGTTACACAGAGGGGAGAGAGAGAGAGAGAGAGAGAGAGAGAGCGAGAGCACAGTCTTCTATCAGATGGGTCACTTCCCAGTTGGCTGCAACGGCCAGATCTGGACTGATCCAAAGCCAGGAGCCAGGAGCTTCTTCCAGGTCTCCCATGGGAGTGCAGGGGCCCAAGGCCTCAGGCCATCTTCTTATGTTTTCACAGGCCATAGCAGAGAGCTGGATTGAAAGTAGAGCAGCTGGGACTTGAACTGTCACCTGTATGAGATGGTGGCACTTCAGGCCATGGTGTTAACCTCCTGGGCCACAGCGCCTGCTCCGGTGATTATCTTTGACTAGTCCAACTTTTCCATTGGTTTTCAACTTTCACAAATGTAAACTCCTCAAAGATAATACCTAACATTTAATTTGAATATAATTATATTATATTTTTCTTTCTTTTTAAATTTCTGATTCCAGATGACCTGATAAAGAGAATAAATATAGATATGCATACAGTAGTCAGAATAACTCCAGTGGAAATTACCCTAAAGTTCCAAAGTCTCTAAATTACAACCTAGAGAAGACTTGGTGAGTTATAATATATCTGTTACATCAAGTTTTTTATGTGTGTTATGAAATTTCCAATTTTGTAACTGATAAGAATGTTGAGTTCATATTTGCCAGCACAAGTAAGTTTCTTCTTTTTTTATTGTGTTAAATAACAAAATATGCCATTTTAACCACTTTTAAGTGTACAATTCAGTGGCATAATTGCACAGTTTGGAAATATTTTCTCCCATTCAGTTGGTTGCATCTTCTCTGTTTTGAATGTTTATTTTGCAGTGCAGAATCTTCTCAGCTCTGTGTAATCCCATTTGTCAATGGGATTTGTTTACCTGTGCCTCAGGGTATTTTCCTAGAAGTCCTTGCCCATGCCAATGTCTTGTAGACTTTCCCCAATGTGCTCTAGTAATTTGATAGTATCAGGTCATGGATTTAGGTCCTTGATTCATGTATTTTAGCTTTTGCTGGTGTTACAGTGCCCATTGTGTAGATGGACTTCTAAAAATTTTTATCTTTTAAAATTGTTCTCCACAAAGAAATCTCTTGTATGAGGAATACAGACTTCATGCATTCCATAAGTACAGCTTCAGGAATAGTGTGATTCTTCCTACCATACCTGCCCTTCTACACACTCTCCCACCCCTTATCTTCCTCCCTCTCCAATTTCCAGTCACATTCTCCACACTTTATATATTTTGGTTACTAAACCTTTATGAGTTGAATAGTTTACAAATAATTGCTTGCATTTTCTTGGATGCCTCTTCACTTTCCTGAGTGTTTCATTTGCTTCACAGAAGCTTCTCAATTGGCTGGAATCCCATTTGTGAATTTTGGTTTTGATTTCTGTACCTCTGGGGTCTTTTCCAAGAAGTCTTTGTATATGCCAATGTCTTGCAGGGTTTCCCCAATGTTCTCTTATAGTTTGATGGTATCAGGTTGTAGATTTATGTGTTTAATCAATTTTGAGTGGATGTTTGTGTAAGTTATAAGGTAGTTTCTTGTTTCATGCTTCTGAATGTGGAAATGCAGTTTTCCCAGCACCATTTGTTGAAGAAACTGTCTTTCTCTAGGGATTGACCTTAGCTCCTTTTTCAAATACAAGTTTGTTGTAAATGTTTGGATTGGATTGATTTCTCTTCTATTCCATTTGTCTATCCATCTGTTTTTGTACCAGTATCCAGCTGTATTGATTAAAACTGCCCTGTAGTATGTTTTGGAATCTGGTATTGCGATGCCTCTGGCATTGTTTTGTTGTATAAGATTGCTTTAGCTATTTGGGATCTCCTGTGTTTCCATATGAATTTCAGCATCATTTTTTCTATATCTGAGAAGAATGTCCTTGGTATTTTTATTTGTACCTTACTTAATCTGTAAATTGCTTTTGGACATATAGACATTTGGATGATATTGATTCTTCCAATCCATGAACATGGAAGATTTTACCATTTTTGTGTCATCTTCTATTTCTTTCTTTAATGTTTTTTATTCTCATCAGAGAGAGTTATTTTTAATTTAATAAATGTGAATTTACAAAGTACAACTTTTGTATTGTTGTGGCTTCCCCCCAACCTCCCTCCCTCCTGTGGCCCTCCCCTCTCCCACACCCTCTCCCATCCCACCCTTCATCGAGTTTCATTTTCAATTGCCTTCATATACTGAAGATCAACTTAGTATATATGAAGCAAGGATTTCAACAGGCTGCACTTATACAAACGCACAAGGTATAGGGTATTGTTCGACTAGAAGTGTTGTTTTTAAGTTTCATAGTAAAACACATTAAGGACAGAGATCCTACATGGGGAGCATGTACCCAGTGACTCCCATTGTTGATTTAACAACTGGCACTCTTATTTATGACATCAGCAATCACCCGAAACTCTTGCTATGAGCTGTCTAGGCTATGGAAGGCCCTTGAATTCACCGACTCTGAACTTGTTTAGTCAAGACCATATCACAGTGGAGGTTCCTTCCTCCCTTCAGAGAAAGGCGCCTCCAGAGAGAGTTTTGACATCCTTGATTAAGTTTATTCTGGCCGGCGCTGCAGCTCACTAGGCTAATACTCCACCGTGCAGCACCGGCATGCCAGGTTCTAGTCCCGGTCGGGGCGCTGGATTCTGTCCCGGTTGCCCTCTTCCAGGCCAGCTCTCTGCTGTGGCCAGGGAGTGCATTGGAGGATGGCCCAAGAACTTGGGCCCTGCACCCCATGGGAGACCAGGATAAGTACCTGGCTCCTGTCATCAGATCAGCACGGTGCGCCGGCCACAGCGCACCAGCAGTGGCGGCCACGGGAGGGTGAACCAACAGCAAAAGGAAGACCTTTCTCTCTGTCTCTATCTCTCTCTCTCTCACTGTCCACTCTTCCTGTCAAAAAATAAAAAAAAGTTTATTCTAAGGTATATGATTTTTTGTACTTATTGTGAATGAGATTGATCTTAGAAGTTCTTTCTCAGCCATGGCATTGTCTGTGTATACAAAGGCTCTTGATTTTTGTGGATTGATTTTATTTCCTGCTACATTACCAAACTCTGCAATGAGTTCCAGTAGTCTCTTAGTGGAGTCTCTTGGATCCCCTATACATAGAATCATGTCATCTGCAAATAGGGAGAGTTTGACACTCTCCTTCCCAATTTGTATACCTTGATTTCTTTTTCTTCTCTAATGGCTCTGGGTAAATCTTCTAAGGCTATATTGAATATCAATTGTGATATTGGGCATCCTTACCTGGTTCCAGATCAATAGGAATGCTTCCAACTTTTCCCCATTCACTAGGGTGCTGGCTGTGGGTTTGTTATATTGTCTTGATCATGTTGAAGAATGTTCCTTCTATACCCAATTTTTTGAGTTTTCATCATAAAATCATGTTGTATTTATCAAATGCTTAGAGATTTCATCATGAAAGGGTGTTATATTTTATGAAATGTTTTCCTCTTTATGATATAATCATATTGTTTTTGTTCTTTAGTTTGTTAATGTGATGTATCACATTGATTGATTTGCAAATGTTGAACCATACCTGCATACCAGGGGTCAATGCCACTTAGTCCAGTGAATGATCTTTCTGAATTGTCAGGTTCAATTCACTAGGATTTTGTTGAGGATTTTTGCATCTATGTTCATTAAGGAAAAGTGTCAGTAATTTTCTTTCTCAATTGCATCTTTTTCAGATTTAGGAATTATGGTGATGCTGGCTTCATGGAAAGAATTTGGGAAGATTCCTGCTTTCAATTGTTTTGAATAGCTCAAGAAGAATTGCAGTTACTTCTTCTTGAAATCTCTGGTAGAATTCAGCATTGAAGCCATTCGGTCCTAAAGCCATTTGGTTTTTCTTTATTGGGAGGGTCTGTATTATTGATTCAATTTCTGTCCTGTTTATGGGTCTGTTTAGGTTTTCTCTGTCTTCATGGCTCAATTTAGGGAAGTTGTATGTGTCCAGGAATCTACCCATTTCTACTAGGATTCCTGGCTTGTTGGCATGCAGCTCTTTGTAGTAATTTCTGGTGATGATTTTTATTTCTGTGGTGTCTGTTGTTACATTTCATTTTTCACCTCTAATTTTATTAATTTTGGTCTCCTTTCTTTTGGTTATTTGGGACAATGGTTTGTCAATTTTGTTTATTGTTTTCAAAAAAACAGCTCTTCGTTTTGCTGATCTTTTTTTTTGGTTTTAATTTTGTTGATTTCTTTTCTAATTTTAATTATGTCTTTTCTCCTATTAGTTTTGGGTGTTTTTTTTTTGTTTGTTTTTGTTTTTCTAGATTCTTGATATGTATTGCTACCTCATTTATTTGGTGCCTTTCCAATTTCTTGATGTAGGCACCTATTGCTATAAACTTTCCTCTTAATACTGCTTTTGCTATATCCCATAAGTTTTGATGTGTTGTATCATCACCTTCATTTGTTCCCAGAATTTTTTAATTTCTCTTTTGACTTTGTCTATGTCACACTGTTCATTCAGGAGCATGTGCTTGTGTATGTTCTAGAGATTGCTGAGTGGCTGATTTCCAGTTTTTTTCCATTGTGGTCCAAGAGGATGCATGGTATGATTTTGATTTTTTTTTATATTGATGAGACTTGCTTTATGGCCTAACATGTGGTCAATCCTAGAGAAAGCTCCATGCACTGATAAGAATGTGTATTCTGCAACTGTAGGATGAAAAGTGCTGTAGATATCTGTTAGGTCCATTTGGTCTGTAGTGTCAATTAAGTCTATTGCTTCTTTGCTGACTTTTGTCTGGTTGATGTGTTCCTTACTGAAAGTGGGGTATTGAAGTTTCCCATTGTTGTTGTATTTGAATCTATGCCTCCCTTTAGGTCCCTTTACATTTCTTTTAAATAGCCAGGTGCACTGTTATTTGCTACATTCATAATAGTAACAGCTTCCTGTTAAATTTATCCCTTAATCATTACATAGTGCCCCTCTTTGTTTCCTCCAACAGTTTTTGTGTTAAAGTCTACTTTATCTGATCTTAGAATGGTCACACCAGCTCTTTTTAGCTTTATGTTAGCATGGAATCTTTTTCCATTCATTCACTTTTATTCTGCATTCATCTTTGTTGGTGAGATGTGTTTCTTGCAGGCAGCAAATTGAAGGGTTTTGTTTTTTAATCCATTCACCCAGTCTGTGTCTTTAACTGGAGAGTTGAGGCCATTACATTAAAGGTGATTATCTATAAGTAATGACTTTGCCCTGCCATTTTTCCATAAATATTCTTGGTTGTGTGTGTGTGTGTGTGTGTGTGTGTTTTACTTTGGATTTCTTTTTCTGCTTTTACTGGGAGATCTTCTTCCTTTACCTTCTTTTTAAGTGATGACCATGTTTCTGTGTTTCTGTGTTTCTGTGTGCAGATCATCTTAAACATCTTTTGCAAGGCTGGATGGGTCCTGACAAATTCTTTCAAGTTGTGTTTGTTATGGAAAGTCTTTATTTCACCTTCATTCATAAATGAGAGCTTTGCAGGGTACAGTATTCTGGGTTGACAGTTCTTTTTTTCTTAAACCTTAGACTATATCTCTCCATTCTCTCC